CGAAAAGATTGTTTCACTTTCCACGTTAACTTAATTTCGGGATCATAGGAATGAATAGCTGTCAGAATCAGTGCTTACTAAATGACCTAATAGTGGCCTAGCAGATTCTGAAGAACCCTATAGACGTCTTCGGCCACCTAATGCAACTCAGTCACAAAAAACTTGTGGGGTCGCCAGTTCAAGTTGACAACGCAGTAAATTCAGCTAGGAAGTCGGCATATTGGGGAACACGTCCCAAACCCGCATCTTTAGTTATCAATTCTATCAGATCAAACGACATAAAACTTCATCCAAAGGGAATTTAGGAAAATTCCAGAAAAATCTCCCAACCCGACAGTAAATATTACAGTCGATTTGAAAGTGGATATATCCAAAGGAACATCAGCATAATCGGAACAAAGTCAAGGTTCGGCAATTTGAAAGTTGCAACGCTTCTATTCTTTGCCCGCAATTAATTTAAATAAACACCTAACGCATGCAATATCGCGGCTAACGTTTAAAAGTTTTCGACTATTCAGGATGTGAAAATTAATCAATCGTGATGTTACAACCCCGCAAAGGTCATTGTAAACTGGAGCACCAAATCGTAAATAGCTAAAATATCTCTAGAAGAAAATGGTACCTTCAGCCTGTCGTTCAGCGCATACAATCCGATTAGTAGATAGCTAACTTAAAGAGCAAAACAGAGAGGAATCATCGACAGACAGGTTTGTGCTCACCTTTATGTGCCGGGAAATGGAATCAAAATTCCTACTACTTTGCGTATCGATTTATTTGGTAGATTTGTATGTAAATTTACTCAATTGAATCTGATAAACAATCAGTGTCAGTAAACGATAGTGGGTAAAAATATCAATCAGCGGTACGACTCGCTATATTAGATGAATAAAAAGGTCACGAACATTTTGCATGGAAAGCATTTGCTTTAAAACATGCACTGATAAATGTTTTAAACAACCTACGAAAATAAAGTGACTAACTTAAACTAAGATTGCTTCTTTGTTTTACTGAATAGACATGTGGGACAGTTATTCTGTTAAGGGAATTACGTTAACTTTCAATACATACATAGCTACAAAGCTGTTCTTGAACGGCGTCAACATTTTAGCCAATTGGAAGTTATTAAGGTAGTCGTATTTAGGAAACATGTTGCAAGGTACAGAATAACAAAAAATCTGAGATTGTCATGTAGTACAAATTAACCGTGTTATTTAAAATCTTAAATACGTTTAAAATGTCAGAGTAACTAAAATGATTAAATCCATTTGAACTTCTATCTTATTCAGCCTATTGAAGTCCGCCATCAATTTACAATAACAAGAGGATACTTTTAGTTTGCGTGCGTCATAGGTTTCTTGCAAAGACAGATCTGCGCATTATGCATAAAATGCCTGTACAATGAAGCACTTACTCGGTAACGGGTAACTCATTAGTGTTTCGTTTGAATCGGATTATTCCGACAAGCAGTAGCGAAATGCCGACTATGAGTGAGCTCGCTGTTAACCCCCATTTAACTTTAGGATTCCATTGCCACGTAGCACCTGTTGCGGTGACCTGAGCTGTAATATATTCATTCTCCACCGGGTAAACATCTGCGTCAGATGTTGGCTTTGATAAAATGTACTGTTTTTGTGCAACTGGAAAAAATATATGGAAAATTTTAGTTCATAAATGAATAATATTCTCTAGTTTTAATGATTTAATATATCAATTTAATTTGCACTAATAACCATGGCAAATAATCCATAATTGGTTTTTAATAGTTGAAATAAAATCGGTAAAACGGTTAATAAAGCACAGATATAAGTAAAGTAGTTTTTAATAAGCGTTTCGAAATTTCTAGCAAACCTTCAGCTTTCATTCGTGATGGGAGTTGTGAAGCAAATTAGGATCGAATAACCTTGACATCGAAGGGCTAGAGCTAAGAATTTAGTAGACAGAGATGCAGTCCGGTTTTGCAAAATGAAACGACGGTGGTAGAAACAGATTGGCAGTGATATCGTATTCGTAGCAAGCTTGCGAAAAATTCCTACAGTTTTGGTACTGGAACAAAGACATATATTATTGTAGCTGTTAGTAAATCTGACAAAGAAGTATTGAAAAAATCATGAAAACAACATCTGGTTAAACTATAAGTTAGCACGTAGTAGGTAATTATTTACCCTTTTCAAGTATATGCTGCACATTTAAACAAATTTTCCTGTTTTTATTTGGCAGTTTTATGGTTAAATGCAGTTAGGTTTTCTTCATCTAATGTGACCTGCCTCACGTTGCAGAACAGGAGTGTGCACAAATGATTTAGATCAACGAGTCCAATAATAAACAATTTGAATATCTGCAACTAAGTTCCAAGCATACAGCGGCTTCACATTTTGTAGCTACGGATCCATTTGCATGATCCAAAAATGAAAACAGAACATGTTATAAACCAACCTGCAAGAGGATAATCAAAAACTGCTTTTGTGAAGATACCCCAACCTTTTCTGGTGCGCGGCCGGACCTGCAGTTATTCAGAGAAATGAGAAATGAGATACGGAAACAATGGAATTATATTTGCTGATGGTAAAAAGAAAGTATGTGTATATACACGCTCTATTACTCGAATAGCGAAACATACATTTTAAAAGCTTTCAGCAGGCGTTCTTTTAAGGTATATGTTATTACATGAGTTTGGCTCTTAAAGAACTAATAATTCACCAAATCACTATTAATGCGTCTTTGCTTTGCATCACAGCAAATATGCACTGTATGCACTTTAGTTGCGGGTATGGCAAGTGTAAAAGCTCACCGGTTTCGTTCACTTGCATACAGGCATGTACATTCTTTCATTCGAACAGGATGGACGGGCACAATATATTGCATTCCTATTTTGGATATAACCTGTGTGGGTGAACATTTAACTCAGCAGCGCAGTTTCTGAACCCTCCCTAAGGTACACACGTGTAAGCAACTCTAACCTCTAAGCCGTAAAATTAATTGTAACAAAAATGAAAGCGGAATGTAAGAATCATAATAGAAGTCAACAATTTAAGCTATCAATGCCAATTAAAAATTTCTCTGACACTTAATGCCGAACATGTAAATGTTGCTGGGGAAAACAACAGGGTAGTTTTTGGATGCACTGTAATGCCTAGCTTCGTGCTACAGACGTAGTTAACTCCGCGCCTATCTATTCAAACGGCTAATAGCCTGCCTGGTCATTACTCCCACTAATCTCAATGGTACGAAGTGCCCGGCCAATAAATTAAAATGCAATAGCAAGCGGATGTGATGCTTCGGTAGGTCAATGGAAGTCACAAATGACAAAATTAAAGTTGTCAACGTATTATCTTTTGCAACAGCAGTATTAAAAGAGGAATCTAATGTCAAAATGTCTTCCATTACTTTTACTACAATTCTGCTTAATACACAACAAGTAAGACTGTCGTTTAAACAAATAGGCTTTTCCGTTTTGACTAGTACGTATCGAAATGCAATGAATCAGGATTATACTTAACTATCTCAGAACCATTAACCATTAGTATGACGAAGAAAAATTGGTAAATACCAATATCACGAGGATTTGGTGTGAAGGAGAGTATGTCACAGTGATAACACATGAGTTGTAGATTAGAAAGGCAAGCAAATACGCACCACTGTACAACCAAACCCAAAGCCATACGGTGAGATAATAATTATTCGTGTTTTGCTAAATTTCATGAAGTAGCAGATGCATTTCTGTTATTTACAGGTCGTTTAAGGATTAAATGACGTTACGTCTTCTGTATAATAATGGTTGGTAGTCGAACTGCGACTTGAGAGACTATCGGAATGAATTTATATCCCCAGCAATACATGTTTCAGTTATCATCGACGCTACAATAAATGTTGACCGTAAAACAACAAGCCGAGCCTAGCATAATTGGCGCAAGGTTTGCCAACTATCGTCCGTGGGAAATGTGGCAAACCTATTTTTCCGAGGATATCTAGGCCGCCAAGTTACAAAGGATACGATGCTTCCAGTTAGGTAGATGTCAACGCTGGTGGTGTTACGCGATTCGCAGTAGCTCAAAGCGGAGTCATTTTGGCAAACACAAGGCATGAGGGATTAAACTGAACCACGTACAGACAACAGTTTGGATAAGCTTGCTTTTCTAATAGACGTAACTAATGGTCCCATCCTTACGTTACATGAAACAAGGGTGAACTTAAAAGTATCCTTGATTCTGACATATATTACTTCGTTACTGCTGCATTCAAAAACTGTTTGACCATTCATCAGTTGGTGCAACAACACGCAGAAGAGACACGTCCTTATACTCACTACTTAGAGTAGAAAAAATGGTCGCATGGGCAACGGCGGACATCGCTTGATTGAATAAGCTGGCTGAACATTTGTTAGGTCAAGTATCATATGCTTGGGAACTCATTCTTGCCACTGGACAGTGACTGCACACAACAATTATCGACAACGTTGTCTCGATACAGCTATGACCATTGTTCGAAATCACAGTTGGCTAGTGCTGCGGCCAACCGGTGGGTTGTCCGGAGACTGCTACTAGTCTCAGCTCGAAAATGCTTACGATTGGGACGCTACAAAATGTGATTTTTATGGTCATTATCTGCACCGAAAAAGACTTCTTGAAGTGGACGCTCGTTTGGCATTAGTCAAGTGACGGTTACGGTAAACATATTACATGCGATATTTCCTACTATGTGACCCCAACAGTCATGTCTAGAAATTATAGCATCCGTCAATATCAGCAACTAAACCAAAACTAAGTGTTGGGTTAAGAATCATTTCGCACAAAATGTCATCCGATATGCACGTCTTCATGGCTGTTATTGTGCCGTAATCAATAAATGGATTTGATGAATGGATTTGCGACATAAATGTGCGCAGAAAGTTAGGGTGGGATGGGTAAATCACGCAAATACAACTACACAAAGTAGAGTCATAATCACGAAATACTTGCTGGTCGAATATATACAAAGGTAATTTGAAAGTATCAGAATATACATAAGAGAAACTGACGACTGCAGAACCGTAAGAATGAAGCATTTAATGAAAGAAAACTTAAGGCACATTTGGTTACCAGTCCTAAGAATGGGCTGCATCCATATTTTAGTCTGATTCTGCTGCCTTTATCTGATTCGGACAATCAATTTCCCTGCCATTTTGTCTGCATCAATAATATACATTTTTAAAGTAGAACTAAAAGTTTTAACTCCGTTAACTCGTACCTTCGCAAGTTGTGCTGGTAATCATAAAACAAAATGTTCATACTTGCAATTGACTCTAGTTAATCAGAGTGACATGACGTATATCGAAAATTGAGTTTTACCTCCACAAAACACTGTTTGACTCGGTAAACAATGCTGTTGATTTTGCGACTACTATTCCAATTGTCCGTATTCGAAGTCTGCTGTTTCCACGCGATGGGTTCAAACCTGGTGTTCAGTGTTTCAAGCAGGATCACCCAAATTCCACGTCCTTCAGCCATGGTCTTATTGACTGAAGTGATTAATATTCACTACAATACAATTCACACTTCACACTAAGATTGCGCTTCGCATTCTAATCACAGAACGTGCAGTTCAAAATGACCCCCCTATAAGGTGGTATACATTGCTTAACTTCCGATAATGTTACTAGCACCCTGCGCATGGCTGCTTATTTTAGTGCTCAGTACGTCCAATACTGTTTGTATTGAAGCAGCTTGTATCACCAATCGAACATTCACTTGAAGAGCTAACATGCAGTCATTAGCACATAGACCCGTAGATGGTTCACAAAAAGGAAACTGCCCATTATTTGAAAAAAAAAGGGTTATAGTATTGCTCAACTACGCCCCCCCAAGAAACCATAATCTGTAGACTCACTTACAAGCTTCTGTGGCAAGCAAATCTTGCTCACTAAGGCGTGGTTATGGAAAGCCTTCTGAGTGCAACCACTGCAAAAGGAACGTAGCTAATTTATTTACAACTCGAAGTCTAGAAATAAGTTGACTGTATGGTGTGTGTACACAATTCTGTTAATTTATGAGCAAAATACTGTCTTAACAGCCAGATACTAGAAAGGTGATAATACTATATTTTTTATGATTAATATAGAGTCAACGAAGTCACCCTAACGCACAAACCACGTTCCACATTAACGTTATGTTAAACAGTAAACTATAACACCATATTCAGTAGATTAATCGGAAAGTCAATGTACCAGATATGGCAATCTCCATGCTTATATTTCTTGAACAAAAGCCTTTTCTCTCCAACTGTAATTCATATCTGAAATTAGCGTAAAGTAAGAGGAAATACTTTGGACTTTAGTCTGTATCAGTGATAATCAACCCTATAGTCGCAATAATAATTTATCCATGGATCACAAGTACTTTCATACGTTACGTACGCAATCATACAGCAAAGTTTTCATAATTCAAGTAACTTCTAACTGTTTCTGTGAAGGAAAAATATTGGAAATGGAATGATATTACTTCATAACACTCTTTGATTCGGTAGATAATGATGTAGTGCTTTTGGCCTCTAATCCAGTGGTTCGCGTTCTAGGCATACTGTCTCCACCTGATGTGATCGAACGTTGTATGCAGCGTTCCTTGGCGGGAAACATCAAAATTCTATCTTCTGCAGCGATGAACCTAGTGATTGAAGTGACTAAGATTTACTTCAATTGGAATCACGACTCGCACTGGGATTGCGCTTCTCAATCCAATCAAAATACATCTCATTCTAAATGTTCCTCTAATTAGATATCAATTGCTCCACCCTCGATATTGTTTTCAGCATACTACGCAAAGACAATTATCCTACTCCTAATTATGCAGGATAATTATGGTAATGAATAGCTGACATCCCTAATCAAGCATCCAATGAGAAAGTTAATATATATCCATTAGATCACAACACTCTTGATATAACATAAATATAAATTGTTCCTTTATTCGAAATACTTGTGTATAATGAAACGCAACATTACACCCTTAGAAATATAAGGTAATGCGCAGACACATGTATATCACTCTGTGCCACACAAACCTTGCTCGCTAATGCGTGTTTGATTGGAAAACTTCCTTAGTCTAACCGCTCAGCGCCGTTATTTCATGCACCGGACTCCGATGTCTCGGTCACGTGTACCGCATACCAACTCACCGATTCCCGCGACGTGCGCTGTTTGCGCGCCCGGGGGCGTAGAAGGAAGAAGAGGACAGGTGGCTAAGCGATGAATTGGTTGAGTGGAATAAGAACACTCACTTCGAAGCTGACTTTAGTTGGAGCGCATCTGCTCCCTGGTTAGGGTCCGAAAGAGGATGAACACATTTTGCTGGATACCCTTTTTGATATGGTTAGGAGCCAACCTAAGTGGCGTTGGTGCTGTGAGGTTATTTGTTCCAACCTTTCCCCCTTAGTTGCTCCTCCAACCACGATCTCATTCTTTAGCATATCATAATTTTACATAATACATTATTTTTTTCTGCTGCATAGTAGCCGGCAGTTAGCTAACCA